TCGGCATCACGTTTGTAGTAATCGTGTTTCTTCTTGTAGTATGCTTCAGCATCGGCATCACGTTTGTAGTAATCGTGTTTCTTCTTGTAGTATGCTTCAGCATCGGCATCACGTTTGTAGTAATCGTGCTTCTTCTTGTAGTATGGTTCGGCGGAACGCTTGGCTAAATCTTCTTCTTCATCTTCATCTTCACTACGTTTGTAGTAATCGTGCTTCTTCTTGTAGTATGCTTCAGCATCGGCATCACGTTTGTAGTAATCGTGCTTCTTCTTGTAGTAGTATGGTTCGGCGGAACGCTTGGCTAAATCTTCTTCATCTTCATCTTCACTACGTTTGTAGTAATCGTGCTTCTTCTTGTAGTATGCATCACGTTTGTAGTAGTGGTGGTATTTCTTCTTGTAGTAGTATGGATCAGCGGAACGTTTGGCGAGATCTAATTAATTTTTTATTTTGTGAAGTAAAAAAATAAATTATTAGAATTGTTTTTTATTGATTGATTGGATTTTTTTGATTGGGTTAAGTAGTAACTTACCTTCTTCTAAATCATCTTCCTCTGGCCTATCAGCTTCAGCAAAGACCAAGGCGATGAACAAGGAAATTAAAAACAAAATATAAAGATTAAATTTCATTTTATATATTTTTTTTTTATATATTTTTTATTTTATTATTATTATTATTATTTTATTGTGAAGAATGAAGAATGAAATTGGGATTTGACGAGAATTTGAGTGTTTATATAGATGTTTTGGTTCCTAAGTATTACTAACGAACTATTATTATTTCTTAATAATTCGTTTAATAAAAAGCCACTACTTACTAATATTTGAATAGTCAAGCTTTAGCAAAGCCTAGGAGTAATTTGTACATAGCCATATCTTTACTATATTTATTAATTATTAATACCGAGAATCAATCCAATTTATTATAATTATAACAATCAGATACATCTCAAGCCACGTTTTTTTAATTAATAGATTTTATCCAAGCCATCCTTAATATTTGTGGAATTCAAAATTGGAAATCGCGCAAATGACATTATTGAGCCAAATACTGTTTATTTTATCTTTGGAAAATTATTTTTCAATCCAAGCCATACTTAATATTTGTGATATTCAAAATTGGGATCGCGTAAATAATATTGAGCAAGCAATAATCAATACTGTTTATTTTTATCTTTGGAAAATTATTTTTAAATCCAAGCCGTACTTAATATTTGTGATATTCAAAATTGGAATCGCGTAAATAATATTGAGCAAGCAATAATCAATACTGTTTATTTTTATCTTTGGAAAATTCTTTTTCAATCCAGGCCGTCCTTAATATTTGTGATATTCAAAATTGGAATCGCGTAAATAATATTATTGAGCAAGCAATAGTCAATAATGATAACGAATAGAATAGACGATAAACATTCAATCAACCAATCACCCAACGATTAAAATTGAATTCGAAAAAATTGCTATTTTAAGAAAAGAAAAAACTTGGAAAGATTTTCAAAATAAAGAATAAAAATTCTAAAGTTCAATATTTTTTTTTTTTATTAAAACAACATGTATTTATTAATGCACGCACGATTTTTTATTATAGTGAAAATCTTTTCTATGTCAACAATTCTAGGAAAAAAAAACACTTTACCATTATAAACAGTTGAGCTTTGGCAATTGATGTTTGACACCGGCACTTTCTAAGGTTTTGGCATCATAAGCCGCGAAGAAAATACATATCGTTATTGATTGAATGTAGTGAGTGAAAATAAAACTAAAGATTATATTTATGGATGATACACGGTTAAAGATAGAGATTAATATTTTAGACATTTTGAGGAATTATTCCTAATCACGAAAAAATCAAATTTGCGCTAAATGTCACAAACATTAGCTCACTACTGTCAAAGCAATCATATGCAATTTTTCACTGCAGTGAGACTTGTATTGTAACGGGAGCTAATTATGACAGGAAGGAAAATCTACATTTGGATAGGCACGCACTTTCGTGAAAGGCAACATACGAAAATAACAAAATATTGGAATTAAAACAATTTGCTAAAAGCTGAAAATTTTGCTCGTCCACCCAGTCCTCCAAAGTAGTATAATAGTGATTTAGTTTGACGAACTTTGCTCCGACTTTATGTCCTTCTCGTACTTTCGACCCGAAATAAATAATTTTAACAGTCTCGGGAATTTGATGCTTCCCTAAGTGGGGAGGAGGCAGAGTCAACTGATGTATTCTTCTGAGTGTACAATGTATGTTATATGAGGCCTGGGCACTAGAGAAAATTTAAAAAAAGGTTTATATTTAAGGATTTACTTGTTACTTTTGAACTTTAGAGAAAATATTACTATGCAAAATGCCTATTAATTATATATAAGGAGTGGAATTTCTTTTTTCACGTTATGGTCTTTTTCTATTGTCCAGGATCGATATAATTATAATTCACTTTCATTCAACGTTGGATCAACCAGCACAGTACTATGCTACTAATAATATGTTATGTTATTATGTTATTATTATTATTATTAGTTGATTTCAATGCTCACCAAGGAGGGTGGGTGGGGGTGTCTTAAGACAAGGTAATAGTAATGACCTCCAATCGCGGCACCTAGAGATTTTAAAGAAATTATATTTGATGCTTTCTCTGCATCAGTATATATATTAATGCTGTAAAAAAAGGGCCTTGGGTATGTTTTTATATTTGTAAACATTCAAATATCCAGTAGTTCGATAAATAAATCATAAAACTGCGGAACATTATTGATTTATCATGTGAACGATGCATATTAACACATCCATTCATTAATATATAGTAATAGAGAGTCTGTTTATTTATTTATAAAATCGGGTGCACATAAAAAATAATGATTGTTTATTAAATTGTTGTGCACCAAACTTTTTATGCAAAACGATAGAAAAAATGTCAAAAAACATGAAATCAAAAAAAAAAAAAGGAGGAAGGTTATGTAGGAAGTCGAGATTTCGAAGGATTGGTTTCTCGGTCAATTCTCTTTGTTAAAAGTAATTTCTTTTAAGTGTTAATAAAGGTCACCATTTTATTGAACTTGGTCATAAAAAGTGACACAGTCTTTAAATTTTTCTTCTAAATGGTGATATACTTTAAGCAATTAAGAATAAATTATCATTTGGATGAATTGTTGCAGTGATTCTTGAAGAATCAGATTTAATTTTTTTTCATTTAAATTTTATTTGTTTTATCACAAATGCATGACATAGATTTCCAATTTCTTGAGCGATTTGGTTAATTATCTGGATGTATTATAATGCAAAACTTACATAATATATTATTAATAAATAGTTTTATTAGAGTTATGTTAAAATATATGATAACGTGGCACACACACTTCACACAAATTAAGTGAAAATTAACTAACGCCTTAGGTAACAAGAAAAGGTTGGCGTTGTTTGAGATAAAAAAAGTTTCATGAAAAAAAACCAAGGTTCATATTCTTCTTCATTATCATCATTCAATGACGTTTTCAAGCCATTAATTGTATTCTTCACTCCGACAGAATGATAATCAACTTCATTTTTACAGCCTTCTACATCTTTATTATCATTGTTATCATCACTTTTATTATTATCACCAGCGGATAGAAGATTTTCTTCAGGGATTTTCTCGGATAGTTCATTTTTATTTTTATTATTTTCTGATGCATCGTCGTCGTCGTCGTTGTTGTTGTTGTTGTTTCCGTTGTTGTCGTAGTCGTTGTTGTTGTCGTTGTTGTTTCTGCTGTTGTCGTCGCCGTTGTTGTTGTCGTTGTCGTTATCGTTGTTGTTGTTGTTGTTTATTATTGGAACTGAATGGATATGATGAGGATCATCAAGAGGCATTATAATAGAATTGCCAAAACTATTAAAAGAGTTATCAATGTTAATTGTATTGTCATTATTGTCATTGTTGTTAATGTCACCAATGCTAGAGTCACTAATGTATTGATTACTATTACTAGTGCTGCCCATAGTTTGTTTCATATGGCGTTCATTTATAAGTTCGTGCAATTCAAGCTTATGATACGTTCCACTGCTATGGCTATGATCTGTCGAAGCACTTTGTAAGTACCCGCTCGGATACTCTTGAATAATATTTGGTACAGTGTAATAATGTTGTCTTAGTTCGTCAAGACATTCAACGACAGATTTGATATCAGGTCGATTATTTGGTTCTGGATCCCAACACCTGGTGTACAAACCAAAGTACACTTCAGGTGTTCCATCGACTTTAGTTTCTCTTAGATTATTCAGATGAATATCCCGGACATCTTTAATTGATTCATACGGCGGTTTACAACTTGAAATTTGCCATAACAAAACTCCTAAACTAAAGATGTCCGATTTCTCATCTTTGGGGTATCTGAGATCTGTATATTTTATGTTCCCGTAAACTTGTTTTCTGGATCCTGATAATCCAAAATCCGAAATTTTAATATTGTTATTAACTACAAGAATATTTCGAGCATGCTAAAAACAACAAGAAAACAAAAATGTTTCAATTAACAATATTTATAGCAGTAGTAGTAACGATGATATTAATAATACTGTTGATGCTACTGTTAAAGAAAGAAATCATTAAAAAGTACCAAATCTCGATGAATTATTCCTTCTTGGTGTAATGTTTGTATACCACTAGCAAGCTGATATGCTAAACGTAGTTTGTTTCCCCAATACAATTTATCAGCGTTTACAGACAAATATTCATGGAGCGTCCCGTGGTTGGCGAATTGCAAAACCAATAAATAATTTCTCGAGTCAGGATCTATTTTTATAATTTAAAAAAATAGAATGCACTGTTAATTATTTTTTTATTGATTGGTTCGTAATTGTAAAGAAAAAATTACCTTGTGTTACTCCGTAAATATTCAAAATACTGTCGTCATAATCAACTTGTTTATGTGAACTAAACTAAAAATAGTCACGTGATAAAATAAAGATTATTTTAGTAAGTGATAACAACATTAAATTACAATCTAAAAAAGTCATACTTCGTAAATAAATCGTCTCGAATCAACGTCATCTTTAATTTCTTTCAATGCTACATCTATATCGCTCTTCCATTTAGCTCTATAAATTTTTCCCGAAGCACCTTCATTGATATAAGCAATATCAGAAAATATACTGTAAGGAAAAATAATTGCCTTTTCTTTATCCAACCATTCCTTTAGATCTTTTGAAGGCTCTTGAGGTATTATGTTGTTGCTGTTTTCAGGTGTTAAATTACCAATAGTTGTATTTTCAATATTGTCGTTATTACTGTGGTTATTATTATCATCAATATTATTATCAATGTTATTATTAATATTATTATTATCAGTCTTATTATCATTAATCTCAGTGCTGTCATTACCATTAATATTATTAATATCAGTCTTATTATCATTAATCTCAGTGCTGTTATTATAATTAATATTATTATTATCAGTCTTATTATCATTAATCTCAGTGCTGTTATTACCATTAATATTATTAATATCAGTCTTATTATCATTAATCTCAGTGCTGTTATTACCATTAATATTATTATTATCAGTCTTAATCTCAGTGCTGTTATTACCATTAATATTATTATAATCAGTCTTAATCTCAGTGCTGTTATTACCATTAATATTATTATTATCAGTCTTATTATCACTAATATCAGTGTTGTTATTATTAATGCCGTTGTTATTAAAATTACCAATGGTGCTATCAAGCGTGTTATTATCAGTGTTTCTATTGATATTGTAAACGTTGTTAATATTATTTGCGGGGTTTTTTCTAGAAAATCTCGTTTTAAAAAAATCCACGAAGGCTTTTTTTACCTTCTTGTTCTTCATTATTATTTCAATGCGATTCACATCAAGAAAGAAAGAAAGAAAGAAAGAATAAAGTTTTTTTCGGGATGTTCTGGATTGTTAATTACTTTTTGGTTCATCCAAAACAATAAAAATGACCTTTTAAAGTATCGATAATATTGTGCATATGACATCATGGCATCATGTCACGTTTTGGCATCAGAATAATAAAAAATTTAATTTGGGAATTTCTTATTTTCTTTATTTTCTATCTCTCTTAAATGATTAACGTCTTTAAGTAATCAGGGTATATTTTTAAAGAAATTTCATTTAGGCAATTTCAAATAATAATAATTTGGAATTTCTTTCTCAATTAAAGATAACTAAAAAAAACCATGTGGTCGGTATTCTCACATGATACATAATTATTTTAGTTAGTTTTAATCCAAACCCATATTCCAATTTAAGCAGCAACATGTTATCGCATTACAGCAATACATTGCCATACGATACAATGATGATAATACAATAATAATACAATAATAATACATGTCAAAATAAATAAATTGAAATAGATCCCTGTGCTTTTAATTGTGATATTTTAACAATGTACTTTCACATTGAGTTAATCACGGCGAATCACATTTTCCCAATTAGTATTGTATTTAGGACAGCTTGGACATTATGCATCTTCTTCGTTTGAAGTTTCTTATAGATCGTCTCGCCAGCCTAGTAATAAATAAAAATGCTGGCGCTTTCAAGACCTTGTTTATAAAAAATATATAAAGTTTGGACTCGTGAGTTAATTTGTAAAGAATAATAATTTCTAGAATATTCATTAATTTCTATAACTAAAACGAAGTTTTTTTAATTCGATATTTTTTTACTAAATCACTTCCAAATTCGCAATTCATTTGATTTCTTCAATGGTCAGGTTGGTCACGATGTATTTGACATGATCAAAATATTTTGAAAAAGAATCCTCTTCTAATTAATTGTGTGACACAGAAAATTGACATTAATATCGAAAAATTTATCAGGAGTTAAATAAAAAATATAGTAATAGTAATTCCTAAAGGTTATATTTATTCTAGGCATATATTACGGATATAATTTATAACAATTAATAAGTGATTTAATTTAAAAGATAATGACATATTTATATTAAATATAAAAAAAACTAAGCTTTAGATAAAAAATTTCTTAAAGTTTTTGCCATGTTTAATACAAATTGTAAATCTGTAGATTCCCAAAAAGTTGTTATTGTACTTATTTAAAAAATCTGCAGATAATTTCCAAATTTGTTAGCCTTGAATTTCATACTATATTAATATAATACACAATCACAATTGAATTTATTTGAATGAATTCATATTATTCTTTTTGTGATATTTTCATCTCAAAAAAAAACATTTTATCTAAAAAAATAACATAATAATAATTTGTGTCTGTGTGACGAAAGAATTTTCTACGTAGGAAACGCAGATTTGAGGTACCACGTATTCACCCGTATATGATTTAAAAAAAACATTAGCGTTGGAATCAAAAATCATATTTGAATTCCCTTTTAATGCAGGCAGTCAAAGCTCAGGAAATGTATGTGCTTTTCTATAAAAGGATAGGGTATTCGAGATATTTAAGAGCGAGACTTCACATGACCATCAGATTATGAATACAATTTTAATCCAAAACAATTTATTATTGTTATTATTATGAATTATGATAGCTTTTATTATAGAAAAAATTTTTAATTGCAATTACAAAATTAAATTGTGTGACTCTAAAAATTTTTTTCTAAATGAAATTCTGAAATTGTCGTTATTGGATCAAAGGTCACACTTTCCGGAAAAAAATAGGCTTTTCAACCGAATTTATGCTCAAAAGAGAATACAATCATTTTTTTGTAAAAATGAATGCAATCTATGATAACAAATAAAACCTGGTTTGAATCCGGTTGATGTCTATTGTAATTACTATAATTTCAACTTGATTGACAGTCGCTTGTAATAATTACATTTCGAGAAATTTGTAAGGTTAAGTTTAACGACAATCCGGGAAGAGAAGGAATATGATAAGGTAAGTAATAATTTGAGGACTTTATGACATCAGTTACGTCACATACGAGTGACTAGAGCTGCGAGCACGACTTTAAAATTTAAAGAAACGGGTTATATTTAATGGTTTCCCTACGTCGTGAAACGGATATATTTTTACATTCTAGCATCATAAAATATTAATCAGTTAATTAGTATGTTATCATAACTCTATTTAATGATCTAGTGGAAATAGATGACACACTTGAAGGATCAAAAGAATTTCGTCCATTTTATTAAGCTTGGTCGAGAATGTTTTTAAATGATCATTAAAAATGAACAATTCTTCGGCAATTGAACGTTTATTGTAAAACTTGAGACTTAATCTTTTGGATATTCTGAGAATTATTATTAATTAATACTGCAATCGTATCTTCACTAGGTGTTTTATAACCACCATCAGTATATTTTTTTTTTTCACCATTTATTCAAGTAATCCTGCGTGTACACCTTTTAAATAAAGGATCCATCGAAAGATATTTATAATATATAAATTTCATAACCTGTTGCTTTTAACTAGATGCTTTTAATCATCTTCTCAATAGTTTCATTACCACTGACTGGTTCGACCTTGAGCTAATGGACTGAATAATTGACACAATTCCCAATTAGTAATATATTCACATTTGAGCTTGCTACCATATTCCATTTTATTGTAAGAAAAAATCCGATTATATAATTAGAGTTCATTGAATGAATGGATAAATATTATATTTTCACAGCCACACTTCTATTTTAGAAATATCATACAGACACTCTTTAAATAATAATAAATTATTAATCGAAAGAGTCAGTGTTTCTCTTAGAATTATACCAGATGGATTGATTACTCGATTAAAATTTAAAGCTTAACAAGCTGCCGCATAAACTAGCATTTGAATGGATTGTTGCGATAATTTTTGAAGAATCAAGTTCAATTTTTCATAACTAATCTGGATTCGTCAAAGTTGCTCTTTAGCATATAGATAAAGAGTAACTCTATTTATTAAATTATCAGCAAATGCACGACATAATGTTGAGCAGTTTAGTTAATTACCTTGGTGCATTATAATCCAAAAACTTTAAATACTTTACATATTTTAGAATTAATTAATAAATTATCAATAAATAGTTTATTAATTTATAGAATATTTACATATAGAAATGAAATGAAAAAAACAGGTTTAAAAAAATAAAGTTATAAACAAATAAATGTTTACTAAAAATAAAAAAAAAAATAAAAACATTAATGATCTGCAATAGTAATACAAAAATTAACTTTAAAGAAAAAAGTTTACATAATAACATTTCCGAATTATTTGATTCTTCGTTAATTGAATTATTCATAATCAATTTATCTTCAATAGAATTATTGGCAGTAGCAAATAAATAATATCCACTTTATCAATTTCTGGTCGTCGGTATCTTTATCATCATTGTCATTTTTATTATCAGCAGATGCAAAATTTTCTTCGGGCTTTTGCCAGATAATTTATTTCAGGACAATTTTAAAAAATTAATTATCATTTCATTATTCAGCATCATTATAATCATTGCCATTGCTGTTATGCCGAAGAAAATCAAAGTTATTATTATTATTATATTTGGGAGGAGACGGGATGAACATTGTAATAGAATGTAAAGATGAATTATAGTAAGCATTGTCATTATTAGAATTGTAAAGCTGACTATAAGAATTAACCGTGACGTCATTACTGCCGTTGTTGTTATAGTCACTAATATATTTATCATTCTTACTAGTGCCACCCATCATTTGTTTCATACGCAGATCTCGTCTATTTATAAGTTCGTGCAAATCAAGATAATTGTTAGGATCTATCGAAGCATTTTGTAAGTGTTCATTCGTAGAATTCTTTTTAGAATTTGGTACAGTGTAATGTTTCCTTAGTTCTTCAAGACATTCAACAACAAATTTGATATCAGGTCGATTATCTGGTTCTGCATCCCAACATCTGGTGTATAAGTCAAAGTATTCCTCAGGTGTTCCATCGACCTTATTTTCTCTTATATTGTACGGATAAAGATGCTCATAATTTTTAATTGATTCATATGGAGGCCTACAACTTGAGATTTGCCATAACAAAACTCCTAAACTAAAGATGTCCGATTTCTCATTTTTGGGGTACCTGATACGTCTGAGATCTGTGTACCTCATGTTCCCGTAAACTTGTTCTCTGGATTTTGATAATCCAAAATCAGAAATTTTAATATTGTCATTAACTATAAGAACATTTCCCGCGTGCTACAAACAAACAGGAAAACAAAAATGTTTTTTAATTAATAATCTTTATAGCAGTAATAGCGATGATATTAATAATGTCGTTAATGCTACTGTTAAAGAAAGAAATCATTAAAAAAGTACCAAGTCTCGATGAATTATTCCTTCATGGTGCAATGTTTGTATACCACTAGCAAGCTGATATGCCAAACGTAGTTTGTTTTCCCAATCCAATTTATCAGCATTCGCAGACAAATATTCTTGGAGCGTCCCGTGGTTTGCATATTGCAAAACCAATAAATAATTGCCCGAGTTGGGATCTATTTTTATAATTTAAAAAATAGAATTCATTGTTAATTATTTTTTTATCAATTGGTTCTTAAATGCAAAGAAAAAATCACCTTTCGTTATCCCGTGAATATTCAAAATATTGTCGTGATAATCAACTCGTTTATGTGATCTAAACTAAAAATAGTCACGTGATAAAATAAAGATTATTTTAGTAAGTGACAATATTAATTGCAAATACAAATATAAAAACGTCATACCTCGTAAACAAATCGTTTCATATCACTGTCATCTTTAATTTCTTTCAATGCTACATATACATTGTTCCATTTAGCTCTATAAATTTGTCCCGAAGCACCTTTATTGATATAAGTAATATCAGAAAATATACTGTAATCTTTAAGATTAATTCTTTTCTGTTTAATTGCTTTGTCCAACCATTTTTTTTCATTTGAGGATCTTTTGTTTTTTTTTTTAAGATTAAAAAGGTTAATAAATGTTTTTGCGTTAAATTTCATTGTTATTTTCAAATTCGAATGAAAGAAGAAAGAAGTTCCAGGTGTTTATATGATATTTTTAATTGTCAATTGTTTTTGATTCACTAAAATGAACTTTTCAAAATAGAGTTTGAATTTATAATCCGATGTTATTTTTTTCTTAATAATGAAGAAAGATGCATTAATATTTATACATGTGATGTCGTTTTTGTAATAATGAAAATAATGAAAATTTTAATTTAGTAATCCTTTTTTTCTAATAGAAGTTTCTATCTTTTATGTATTTCATCTAAATGATAACGTCTATAAATAAATTAATTACAATCACGTGGATAAATTTTTTTTCCTCTGGTTTTAATTTCAAATTCTTAATTACATAAACAATTTGTTTTAAAACAATTAAAGAAACTTCATTATAAATTTCCTTGCTCGAACTTTAATGTCCAGGATAGTAATTGTGAACCCTAAAAAAATTAATCATAGATTTGCTATTGATTGTTTGACAATTTAGGATGCATAATTCCCTCGGTCACATGATATTGAGATGCATACAGTGTATTACATGGCCAAATTAGCCAATAATTTGTTGGCGGAATTTTTATTAAAAAAGGTACGATAGAAACTCACCAATAAAAGTTGCATAATCGTGCTTTCTCAAAAATGTAAAATTTTCTCTGTTCCTATACAAAAGTAAATAGTTCACTCTTGGACGACTGTAGATTCCACATAAACGCATATACAAATTAACAAAAGAAGAAATAATGGATTTTATATTATTATTATTTGAAAAAGATAATGTTGTAATACAAATGCACAAAAAGGATTTCAAGGTTCAAAGTTGTACTACCAAATGAAACTCATCTATATTGGATCTTAATTCCATCATACTTTTCTATAATTTCGTCATTATCAAGAACATAATTAACCTGTTCCTTTACTGCTTCATCTTGAATGCCAAATAAATCCTACTTACCAAATATGGTGGGCGAACATTTTGGGATCATAACTAGTGTATATAGAAAGTCGGCAGCACTGTACTGAATTATATATATAAATTGGACACTGTACTAAAAGTCTAATTTTAATTCAGTATACACTTGTCATTCATTTTTATTATTACTATTATAATAATAATAAGGACATTTGCTGATCATTAAAATTGGCCACAATAGCGAGTTCTAACAACCTTTGTAGTACAAGTAAAAAATGCATTTCATGTTTAAATCTAGTTTCTGAAATTTTACAAAACAATTCAATTCCAAACTGCTCTAAAACATAGTCACCAAAAAATATTGTATTTCATTAAAAAAAAAAATCGATATCTTGTCAGATTTCCTTTGTTTATCCACCCTTTGTGACACTATTTATTAATCTATTCATTCTTTCCAGATTAATATTAAACCATTCCTCTTTTAATAAACCGAATAGTATTCTAAGTCAGGGTTGTGGAATTTCGCTGTACGAAAAGAATCTTTGTACGTACGTACGATGTACTACTGTACTTTGTACAATTGAGTTCGTACAGTTTCGTTGTGGTCGTACACCTGTACGAGGAAGTTTTACATATGTACGTGTGTACGTACGAACATACGATATGAGGAACAATGATTTTCTGCGGTGATAAAACATTACTTTGTGAAGTCCTATAATAATATTAATATTATTGTTATTGTTATTAAGCCGTTAACCCTATTTACTATTACTATAATTAACGGATTATCAGATGTTGTAACCGGGGTCATAATACTACTTCATTATCAGGAAAAGCCTCTTATTTGAGCCCTTTTTATTTTATATTCTGTGTTAAAAAAAGTACATATCCCGTGGTTTCTATTTTTTTTTTTCCTAATATTAATAATGAATAAAAAAATTACCTTTACAACCTTTTTAATTATTATCAATTATTGAATTTTTCAGTAGTTAATTCCATAATTCTTTTATTCTGATGGTCAAAGCTTTGAAAGATTACATCATTGAAACAAAACAAAAAAGTGTTTCTAGTAACAGATTATTAAACTTGGTGAAAACAGCAATGAATTAAAAACGATAGTAGATAAAATCGAACATATAATGCAACATTTTAGTGGTTGTCAAAATTTCATGTTGTATATAGCCAAAAAGAAAAAATTAAAATACTAGCTCTTAGCAATAATAATGATAATAATAACAATACAGTAAAAAGAAAAAGTAAATTTCAAAAAATTTTTTTTTAATTTAATTAACAATTATTGATTTCTTTCTATTAGTATGTAATTCTGCTTCATCCCAATCATCTAATTACGGTTCTTTTAGATAATTTTGTTTCTAAATGAACTTTATAACTTAGATGTCCAAAGTATTGATCATCCAGCAACAAGTTCTGGTGGAAATGGATACTGGGAATTATTAAAAAACGATCCTTTCTAGTTTATCATTACAATTATGAAAAAAAAAATTTTTTGACGAATTAATGTATATTACATTTGATCAACCAATAAAAATTGGCATAAATCACATGATATGTTCGTAGAGTTCTCTCTATAACGGCCCGCCTGATTTGGCAAGAAAAGGCCGTTATAGAGAGTTTGCAGATCATAGTCATGTGATAAATTATAATGTGATACAATATAAAGATTTTATTTTATATTTGCATACTTATTCAATGTTAAAAAAGCTATATAGTGTGGATTGTTGTTGTGAGTTAAAATCCATTTTTTTAATTTTTCTTTTAAGATTTTCCAATAATTTAAAATCGTCCTCATTTAATTCTGATTGTTGGTCAATGTAAATTTCTAATGTTGTTTTTATTGTTGACAAGGCTTCTTTATTTGTAACAGGTGGAAGTTCTTCGATTATTTCTTCCTGGCTTTCATTTTCCTCTGGTGGATTAATTATTGTAACTATGTCATTTAGATTTATTTCATCACTTACATGAGAGTCATCAATTTCAATGTATTCAGACGCGGATATAGGATTAGGGAGTGCAAGAGCTCTCTTACATTCAATGAATTTAAAATTGATGACATATTTTCAATTTCGTTGGAATTAATATCATAATCAGGTAAAATCTCAGTTTTTTTTCAGCCGTTAGCTATAGTTTGACTGGTAACTTTTTTCCAAGCTTTTGCTGTAAATTTAATTGCATGTTTAATTGAAATTTATTCATATTCTTGACCATTTCTCTCTTCTTCATAATCACTATTTTTTTTTGCAAGAAAAGTTTTTTGTAGTTCATCTTGAAGCTGTTAATTATCCCGGCATCACATGGTTGTAAAAATTTGTTGTGTTTGGCGGTAAGAAGTAAATTCTTACATTAGTTTAAATTTGTTGATTCAGAAATAGAATGAGTGGGAGCATTGTGACTGACAATAAGCGCGTTCAAATTATTAATAATTGAGTGTGACACACTGAATTTCTTAATTGATAATGATTACCTCAGATCATGATCGTCGGCCGTTATAGACAACATATAAAACATATGAGAGAATTTTCAGAGGCTGGCCGTTATAGGAAATTTAATTAAGAAAACCGTTATATAGTAAGGTTTTTATATAGTAAAAATTTGGTTTCTGATTTACAGTGCGTTATAGAATGGAGGCCGTTATAGAGGGGACCGTTATAGAGAGAGTGAACTGTAATAATAATGGTAATTATTTTAATGAGTTGATTATGAATTTTTAAATCAATATTTATTTTAACATTAATATTCATATCACTAATTATAGCTTCACATCTAATGCGTTTAACGATATTTTAATGGGATCTATTCATTTATTTTGACATGTACTATTATTATATTTATTTTGACATTATAATATCATCATTATATTGCATGACAACGCGTTACTGATCGCTGGCTACAATATGCAAGACCTGTACCGCATAAATTTGTATAAGGATAATAGAAGTTAGAGTTCAGCTTTGGATTAACACAAGAATCTTCTCTTAGTATTAGTAGTAATGTAGTTGTTGTCATTGTAACAATAGAAATCAATATCATCCATCATCTTATGTTCATTGTATAATCATATTTAATCTTTAATAATAAACTTACACTATTATCCTGTATCCTAAGGCTTTTTTTTAACGATTTAAACTAACATTTCAGAAAGGATCTATATGCCGAACAATATCTACAGAATTTAGTTAAGCAATTTTATAAATTTTTGACTGATCACAGATATTACCTAAGTCAAGGTAAGAAAAATTAGAGAGGGGTTTGTATTGTTTGATTGGATAAATGTTGTTTGCCGAAATTGCTTTTGTATATGGAAAAAAATAATTACGGCAACCATTTCGGCTTTAATGTTTTTTATGAACATAAAATAACCATGCCATTTGATTTATTTTAGAGTACAAACAATTTCGTAACTATTAAAATTAATTACTATTAATATTAAGTAGTTTCGGACAACATCTATGAATATAATTGATTAAAAGTTAACCTAAAAAAAAAAGATTAAAGGACTATAAATAAAAAAATAATTCTTAAATACGCCAATTTTGAAGGTTAATATTGATATAAACTTTGCAACAAAAAACTTTGTGTATAAAGAAAGGTCTTAAAAGAATTTACACAGTTCAGCGACCAAGTGATTGATATCTGTGAATTTTTCGGATTTGTCATGTAAAAAGGAAATTTTTGTCCCCCCCTGGTCAAAACTCAATATCAATGATCTTTTTAAAAACCTTATTTCATCTATATCTCCAAATAATTAAAATAATTTAAATGAAGAGCAAAAAAACAGGAAATTCTAGAAGAAACCAATCAACTAAGAAACAAGGATATTCAACAAAAAGATGAAAGTTGAAACAAGATAAGGAAAATATAAGAAAATAAATAAAACATTTAGAGGATGATTATGAAAAAACTGAAAGAGGTAACAAGCAAACAATCAGCAATTAAAGAATGATGCGATTAACCTGAAAAATCAATTAGCTTTCTTAGAGAAAGAAAAAGATAACCACCCCAAAAGTGAAACTAGCAAAATAGAAATAACTAAAAAAGCCCAAATGTCAGCCAGACTAAATAATAGCTGAAGAAAATCAAATCAAATTAACCTAGATAAAACCAGAACAATTAAGTCAGGGTCAAAATGAAAATAAGATTTTAAGCTTAGCATAGCATGAATTGTATGGAGGAATATGGAGCAAGAAATGAAAATAAAATACTGTCTATTGGGGTTACTATAGCTAGTCACCAAATGCAATTCTTTTGTGATGTTATGTTCACTTTGTCTGGTTTTGTTATTTATATAAAATAATTGAAATGCAATATGATAAAACCTTTTTCATTTTTTTTATTAAAGAATTAGAAAATAAAACTGAATCTAAATTCGAAATGCACAAAAAAAAATGAAAAATAAAATTAAATGTAAATTAATTTATCAACAGCAGCTTTAAAATATTAATTGTTAACACCTTCACCCTGTGGATGTTCAGCTGGAGATAAAGGATTTTTGACAATAAATTTTACATAAAAATTCACATAAATTTGTCGCAAATTTTAGACCTGTTGGAGCTTCATAAATAATGTACAATAAGATAAAAATCCGTTTTGACTAATAACCATAAAAAATATGTGAATATTGGATATAAGATGATCATTATCATTATAATAATTGTAAAATATAATTGTAACTATATTATTATTTATTGTTGTTTTCCAATCCACCTTCCAGAAGTTTCTTAACAAAATTTCTTAAAGAATAAATAACACCATAAACCAATTTGGCTTCATCAAGGTTAATCAACCTACTCTCAGATACCATACTTGTGATGCAGTGGAAAGATTGCTTATATGATATGCAGGTGATGGATTTGATTCTCCCGATCCCTCATTATTACCACATTACTATTATTACCACTACCACCTACAACTACTATTCCAGATTTACGGTGTTGATGCCAATCATGATAATAAATACAAGTGCAATGACGGTCAAATATATACAAATTATAAATCTTAAATAAATACATTATTGTTACATGTAATCTGATACAAAAAAAGATCTGCATTTTGTTTTTTAAGATTTCTCGAAAATTTTATTCGAGTATGGTTCCTAATCCTTGTGATGAGTTTGATGCGTTGCATATAGGTGTAACATTAACTCAAAATTGGTCCGGGACCAGTTGCCCTTGTTTCTATTGATATCTTGAAGCATTATTCAGGATTATACGCTATGTGATGAATGCGTAAATTGATAGTAAACCAATAGTTATGCATAGATTTTAACAAAGTTATTAGGATATGAACAATCCTAAAATTTATTCATCTATTCTATATAGCTCTTTAGTTTCAATTATATTTAATTAAAATATTTAATCAAATAAATAAATGAATATTGTTTGTTTTAGATCCTGAATTAATATTATGTATAGACGAGTTAAAACTTGCCATACTTGCTCACTCATGCTTAACTCCTGGATTTTCAACACTTTTATATGGTCTTACAACTACGTTCACTTATGAATCAACTCACGAATTGAGAAATATTAAAAAAGAGTCATCATCTCGTTTGGAAAATGACTATATTGAAGATTATATCGAAGGCATCTCTCAATCTATCTACACCACAACCCTATCAAATTATTTTGCTGGTTCTACATTTCATGCTGTTGTTGGTTAGTAGATTGTAAATTTTTCATTAAAATTTTCCATTAAAAAAAAAGCAGTTAATTTATTATACCCATGAACGAATGAATGCGTAGGTCGTTTGTACGAAAGTTTAGGTGTTGTACTATTTGCTATTGGTATTCCTCAACAACATTTTCCAATTGGATCATCAAATAATACATCACATGAAGAGGGCGATTGTGACGGAGATGCCAAGAACTATATGGTTTTAATTAATCCTGGAAATTATATTGTAAAAGGTGACGAAGTTGGATTTATAATTGCTTGTGATGGCGCGCTGGCTGAAGGTGTTTCCAATTATGAACGACATAATTCGCATGTTCGAAACAATGAGGATTCATCTTTTGAGTCACAACAAATTTTTTCAGAAAGACATCCATTATTGTCATCTAACGCGTTAAAAAATAATGGTGGTGGTTCATATTTAGGTCTTCCTACAACTTCTGATAAAATATATCACGAGTATCCCTATAAACCAGATTTTAATACACGTCGTCAACGTGCACTTTCTACTCCTCTTGCCTTTGCAACAGATCATCACCTTGAACATCATCAACATCACAAGCAACACCACCATAATCACAGTGTAGATCCTTCTTCCTCTTCATCAAGTTCTCTTGATAATGATCACATGAACCCAATATTGGATACAATCAATGGACATATCCTCTTGTGTGATTATTCAACTGCAACTTTCCCACGTAATTTGGATTGTTTTGTTAGCCCATTACGTAAATCACACTTGGATAAGTTTAAACCAATTGTGATTCTTTCGCCAGTAAGACCTACAAAAAGTCAATGGAAAATTTTAAGTCAATTTGATCAAGTATATTTTGTTGAAGGAAATCCAATGACACGAGAAGGCCTTGAACTCGGTAGAGTCAGATTTGCAAATAAGGCTGTGAGTATCATTAATAATTTCAGTTGGCTAAGCATCTTTTAAAGCTAACAATAATTTTAAAAAAAAAAATTTTTTTTTTAAATCATTATTTATATTTTATTAAAATATCTAGGTTATATTAACTGATTCCACTAGAATTTTAAAGTAAATGAGGGGTTTTTTTTAAAAAAATTTAAGAATTTATTAAATTTAATTAATTGACCAATTTCCAATCTTTCAATTTAATTCCCTTATCCAAAAATTAACCATTAGGGATGGGGAAAAGACTGAAGACGCGCCAGCAATGTTGGTTTACTTGAACATTAAGGCAATGTCTAACGAGGGAGACATTGATGTGATTGTGGAGTTTGTACATACAAATAATATGAATTTTATATCAGAAGACACATCAGTTATAGACAAGAATATGCAAGGTAATTAATTATCTATTATTTTTATTATTTAATTTTCATTATTTAATTTTCATTATTTTTTTATATATGTATAAATACTAAATTACATTTATTTAAACAGCACATAATTCACCAGCTTTTATGGCAGGGACTTGTTTTTCTTTATCTATGTTGGATAGCATAATATGTCAATCGTTTTATCAACCACATCTAGTTGTTATCATTAATCAATTACTTTTTGGGGCTCCTCCACTTCATCTCCCTTCAGGTGCAACTTGTTCTGCACCTGCTCATTCGCACATTTTTCAAATTCCTGTGCCCGCAAGATTCATAGGTTCACAATATGGATCACTGTTTCATTTCTTATTGGGTGAGAAAAAATCTATTCCTTTGGGCCTATACCGTACTAATAAATTAAGCACACCAAATGGTAAAACCAAATACTTTAAATATGTATATACTTGCCCTAAATATAATGTGAGGTTGAGAGAAGATGATAAAGTTTTTGTGTTGAGCAAACGGATTCCATCTATATTGTAATCTATTTTTAAATTATTTCACTTAAAAAAAAAAAAAAAAAAAAAAATCAATATTATTATATATATATATATATATATATATATATATATATATATATAAAAAAAAAAAAAGTAAAAAAATATATAATTAATTAATTAATTCGACAGTAACCAACCACTAGTCTAGAAAACATTTTTGATTGGAAATTTCATCTCAAAAAATTGATGATGTGACGCGGAAAGCTGTATCTTTTCCACGTGATCATGCAAATTATTCCCAAGCAGAGATTTGTTTGATTTTAATGATAAAGATCATTACTGGTTGGTACTTTTTTTTTTGATTAACAAACTTACAATTGAGAATGCAACGTAATCCATTTGCCTGTTATTTTGGTTCAAGGCAATAGTCTATTTTATTAATATAAATAACCCACATTTTTTCATAACACCAATATAGAAATATTTCAAGTTTAACCGTGAAATTAAAAAATTGCTACGCGAATAATAATAAAATCGCATATACAAATTCCGTTTGAGAAATAAGTAGCTAAAAAGTGAAAAGCCTCTTCATATTTCTCGATGGATGCATATATATAATCAATGAAAATAATGAAAGGAAGTGGTTGTTAAATATAAATGATTTGTATATAATAAAAAATGATGATAATACTTAATGGATGAGTCTTCTCATCCACACAAACTCCATTTCAACTCTTCCGCCCCATCATCATCTAATAAAAAATAGAAAATAAAAAATAATTAAATAAGGATCAGCAATAAAAGAGCTGCATATTGTCAGAGATTGGTTTTCATGCAAAATTGATATATTCATATAATAAAAAATTTAAAGGACGCGATTTTTACTAATTAATGCTTCACCAGAATTTGAATTAACAACTTTTTTTGATTCAGTCAATTTTTTACGACTATTATAATCAATCAATCTAAATTAAAGTTCTAACTTTTACGCCAAAAAAAATTATTAAACATAAACGTTACACTTATGTTTATATTATTAGAAAAATTTAACTAGCTGATTTGTAATAAATTATTTTTTAGTGAAGAGAGCTTTGGTCCATTTATCTCAGCTTCAGCAAACACCACAACATCCTCGATCAGAATCAAAAGTGAAGATTTTTACTTCAACCGTTATATAAACCTCCCAAAGCATGTCATTCTGCAAGAAGGTGCAAAAGTGATGTTCCTTAACAACAAGTTGTTTGATTATAGAATTTGCAATTGGACAATCAGCGCGATGATCAAAATGCTGAAGTGGTCTTTCTGAAAACCCGCGATATCACAAAGGTGACTATGCAAAAAGAAACCTCTTACTTT